TGAATTTGAAATTACTTGGTAATTGGTAATTGTACTTTTTTTATAAAATTGTAGAAAGCCACGTTAAAGAAAGAAAGAATATTAAGAGAATTCAAAAAATATTCATTATGAATTTTCATCTCATAATCCAAATAAATCCTTTCTTTCAAAAAATTTAAAAAATAAATCTCATAATATCAATTATCTTACACCTTTTATTTTTATCAATCAAATGTATTTTTTCCTTTAACTAAATATATATTTTAATTTGTTAGATTCTTTCATTATCTATTTGATTTATAAAACTAATAATCGTAATCTTTTACATACCTTTTATAACATGTATTAATATCACTTATGTTAAGAATGTTTTTGTTTCTTTGCATTAGTTTTAGTTTTATATTATATTAATCATCATTTATAATACATTTAATATATTTTAAAATATAAAATTATTATGTCATTAAAATCAAATAATAAACAATTATTAATTGTAAGTTAATATAAATTACTCCATAAATTCTAATTAAAACTTTCTAACCACTATATATTGTGTTTATCTATTCTTTATGGTATTCAATCAATCTCTAGTCTCTGGGTTAGTATTAAGGTATCATCAACTCATCCTAAAAAATTAAATTATAAAAATAATAGCTTTTCATTTTCAATCATCATTATCATTCATTACTAAATACACATATATATAAAATTACTGTGTGGTTACATGAAAAAACTCCCAACTATAACCTCAAATGCATCTTAAATTTAGGTTTTAACCTTTTGTTGTTTGGGTTAAATAATTCCCACCTATAAATTACTAATGACACTTTGGATTCAACATGTAAATTAAATGTCACCCAAACCATTAAACAAATAGCGTCATGGCACTCAGTTAGCGGAGGAGCTAGCGCTAATTTGCTTCAATCATGGGACTTGAGGGTTTATTTGCTCCTTTTTTCGTTCAAGGGTTGATCACTTATTGTTAGAAAAGTTGATGTTAGAAAAGTTGAGGGGTTTAAGAAGAGGTTTCACTGTTTTAAAGGTAAAAAAATTGTAATATCTCAAAATTTTGGGGTATTTTAGCATTAAATTAGGGATTTATGTGTAAAAGAAATATTGTTTTGGGTTTACTAGCAAAATTTTCAAAAGTTGGGGGACCTAAAAAGAAAGGAAATTAGGATAAGGATCCACTGCTTTTTCTTTTTCTTTTTCCTTTCTTTTTTCCTCACAGTCGCGTGTTTCTGCTTCTGCTTCTCCTTCCTCCCCCGACCCCTGCACCCGACGAGCCCCCCCTCCACCGCCACCCATTTTCCGGCCGGAACACCGGCAAAGCTTCGGGATTTCTCCCTATTTTCTTGTTCTAGAACACTTATAGAACCCAGAAAATTTTTCCCCCTCTGCAGAATTCGGATCTGCGTCTTCCTCCCCTGCTGTCCGCAAGCTTCTGCTGTGTGGGGTGGCGAAATTCTCTGGGCTTTTCGGTAAGAACAGCCATGATTTCATCCTTTTAGCTTTGATTTAAGTTGGGTTTGCCTTAATTTCTCTTGGTTCTCCATTTTTGGGTTGGTCCCATGAGTCACCTGCAGAGAATTCCCGCCGGCTTCTTCCCCCTGCTAGCTCCGGTTCTTGCTGGAAAATTCTGGTATGATGGCCACTTCTTTAAGCCCTAAATTAGCCATTTAATTGCTGCCTTGTGTGTCCGAATTTGGCTGAAAATTTGGGGATGAATTCCGGTAGCTTTAGGACAAATTAAGCATTGATTTAAGTACAATTTATGTGTTTGAGTGTTAATTAGGCTGCTGTGATTGTTTGGAGAGAAAATCCCGTGAATTAGCTAGTGTTTTGGCCAATTTTGGAAGTTGGAGTTACTGTTCACGTCGTGGTTACTGTTCACGGGTACTGTTCACGACAATGTTCACAGATTACTGTTCACACACCAAGGGTTAACGATTAACAGGGATTTAAATGTTTAGTTTGTCATATAAGAATAAATTTGGAGATGTCCGGTTATGTGGAGATTGATAGAAATAGCACTGTGATTAGGGGTAGTGCTAATGAAGATTTTACTTTGAATTTGTGGTAGTGCGGTATTAATTGTGGAATATTGTGATTAGGTTTTGATTGTTCTGTCATCGTAGCACTTGACTTAGCCTTCTGTTCTGTGCAAGGTAAGTAAATTATGGTAAAGCCCTTCGATTGTAAAGCATGTTTTAAATTGTTTTTGAGATGATGGCAATGTTTAAATTGATTTTATCGGCATCTGAGTGTAATTTAACTAAAATGAAAATTGTGATGATTTTTATGAAAAGTATTATTTTCTGAAATGAAAATGGAAATTTCATTGTTTTTCGAAATTGAGCATGATTGGAATGAAATTGTTTCATTGCATTGAGTAGAGCATGCCTATTTGGAACTTATTGAACTGCTTTGATGATTTGAGAATTTTTGTAAATTATGATTTTCCTGTTAAATCCATGCCCACATGGAAATTTTGCAATTATTTTTGGAATTTGAAATTGATTGTGAATTTCAAAATTTTTTGTAAATCTTGCATGGTTTTGTCTCTGATATAATCATGATTTCTGATCCCCGCTAGTGGGAGTAACGCTAGCACATGTCGACATGTTTACTGATATGACCGGTTTATTCTGACGCTTGCCACTGGGCGAATACATTGGCAAATTCTGACGCCTGCCACTGGGCGAATACATTGGCAAATTCCGACGCTTGCCAATGGGCGAACACATTGGTAAATTTCGACGCCTGCTAGTGGGTGTTAAACACTGGTACTTTTGTAACCTTGCCAATGGGGTTAAACATTGGTAACTACTGTGCCCGCTAGTGGGAGGTTTATAAACGCTGGCCATGACTTATAGATGAGACTACTGAATCTGATTTTGCATTAACGGTTTTGTCATGAAATGTTTTGCAATTGAACTGAATCTGATTTTGTCATTAAGCATTTTGTTATGTTAAACTGCCTATCTGGCATGCTTAAAAGTTTTACTCAAGGGCTATTCATATTTACTTACTGAGTTTTCTCATAGTTTTTCTTGTCCACCATTTCAGGAAGCGAAACCGAAGGGAGTGACGAGTTAGAAGGCTAGCCATTTTGTAAAGTGAATATAGATTGAGATATAGATCATGATCTTGTAAGCAAAAGTTTAATTGAAGATTTTATAAATTCATTTAATGGATTGTTAGTTTACAAAAAATTTGACCTGGAGATTTTGAGATTAAGTTAGGTTGGACATAGAATTATTTTGAGATGATTGATTTGAGTTATTGGATTGTCAGACATGAATTGAATAAGTTTTGAGTCTTGTGCATTCGTGGGATCTGTTCACAAGTGCACGGCGTATATCGCGCCTCGAATTCGGGTTTGGGGCGTGACAAAAATAATACTCCAGTATAAATTATATTAAATTATATCATATTAACCATTAAATCAAGAATAAATTTTTTAATATTATGAATCTTTTTTTATCTA